TTGGTCAAATGATCTTTTGTAATCAAATGATAAACCAAGAAAAAAACTTTATCAGATTTGGTCCTTTCAAGTTTCAAAACAATAATTAAAAAAAAAAAAATCCCTCACAAACCAAAGTCATTGGTCATTGCCTATATAATGTAATAGTGACAATTACTCCAATGAAAACACACTCAAATAAGTTAACAGTTATTTTTCGATCATTAAGACTTGTTTACCAAAGATTTCTGGTGTTGTAGTGGTTAAAGCATTTGGCTACTAACCAGAGGTTGGTGGTTCAAATGAACCAGCTGCTCTATGGAAGAAAGATGAAGCAGTTTACTTCTGTAAAGATTTACATCCTTGGAAACCCAGCGATGGTCGCTATGAATTGAAATTGACTCAATGGCAGTGAATTAGTTTTGCTTTTAAGCCTTGTTTGGCCTTGATGTAAATTGACTAATTCAGTGGAAACCAGCCAGGGATGGTTTGAAATGCTGATGTGAGATCTGTAGGTGCACAGGGCGGGAGAACAGACTGAGTCCCAATGGCTAGATGAAGAAGAGGTCTCAATAGGTGGAAAACCAGTGTTGGAGAAATCAGGGGCATCTGAGCCTGAGAGGGAGTTGTAGATGGAGTCGTCTGCTTCAACCTCTGCATACTGCTGTCTGCATCCTAAAATGGCTTAGTTCTTGGTGAGTTTTCCAAGTCTAATAAAAGTAAGGAGAATGTGAGAGAAGTTGGGTCAGGATACAATCATGAGCAGTAGGGCTTAAGACATATTTTTGATCCCAAGACTCGAGGTAAGAGGCTTATTTCTGGAGCTGGAGCACATGACAGGATTATCAGCTGTTGAGTTGTAGAATTGCTGGCTCAGGGAGCCTTGCACTCATGCTAATCAAAGACTGGAGTTGCATCAGAGCCTGGAGCTCAGACTGAAATGGCTTTAGCAGTAAAATGTATGGGGGTCCAAAGTAGTACACTACATAGGTCATTGAATGGTATGTCATTTTGTGAACACCTCTCCCTCCAATGAGGTGATTTTTACCATTCAGTATCAGCTGCATTGATGGTACATGGACACAGATTTGCTAATGGTCTTTGTCAAAATTTTGAGGCTGTTTTAAAAGAAACTTTCAATGCAGCAAAATATTTATTATTTAAGTCAAATGTGAATGACAAATGGCTTTGGTGGCCAAGGGTGGTGAATGTGAGGTGAGGTGGAGTGGGGTAGTGCAGAGTGAGTTGATTCTGTCTTTACTGCAGTGATACAGTGGTGTTCAATTACAACAGAGCCAGTATGTTGTACCTATTTGTAGCAATTTTATGGGTGCTTTAATGCAGTAATGTATATTTATTCAGTTGTTTTTCTCCCCTATCAAGTACTTCCAAAGTAAAGAAAAAACATGTTATTTTTTTTTTTTCTTTCCCCTACAAGCAAGTTGCTAATTCTGTAAGTGGAATAGATCTCCATCAGAATGGGGCATATTTCAGTTGAACATAAACACCTCAAAGGCTGATTTTATCACTATTTCTGGGAGCATTTGTAAGGTGAATTTGGAGTCAAATGAGTTTCACCTTTTGAACAAAGCTACATATGATATGGCTGATAAAATGGAAACCCTATTAACTTTTCTTCAAGATTCCTATTACAACAGCTAAAAATTTCAAGACTATTTCCAGACATCCCCCACTGAAGAAATATGTCTCTCTCTCTCTCTCTCTCTCTCTCTCTCACACACACACACACACACACATATACACAAACACAAACACAAAACAGAGATTTAAGCATCTTGATCTGGACATCTAGAGCACAGAAGTTTTGGTGTTTTGTTTAGCTGTTTGAGTAAGGCATATTTGAATTAATGGAGATAAACAAAACAACCTGTCCAACTTTGAGACTCTCGTACCATAAAATGGGACTGCAGTAATTGTGGCTCCCTCTCAATGAAATTCTGACCAGCCTTAGGTTGAACTTCACAAACTTGGGCAAT